AGGTGCCGAGCCTAAACTAGTGATTCTTAATGCTAATTTAAATTTCCTGGTTAGTTTTAAACTGCAGATTATTTGGGCTATATCCAATTAAGCTGGAACCTCTACTTCAAAGCCAATATAATATACTGAAGAACGTGGTGCTTCTTATTTTACCTCTTTTTTTAATTAAATCATTACTGTGTACATTAATGCAATCATGGGGTACAATGTGCTAGTTTTATATACAATTTGAAATATTTTCACCAAATTGGATAACATAGCCTTCATGGCATTTTCTTAGTTACACTTTTTTTTTTTTTGAGACTGAGTCTCACTATGATGCCCTCAGTAGAGTGCTATGACATCACAGCTCACAGCAACCTCCAACTCTTGGGCTTAGGCAATTCTCTTGCCTCAGCCTTCTGAGTAGCTGGGACAACAGGTGCCTGCCATAACGCCTGGCTATTTTTTGGTTGTAGTTGTCATTGCTGTTTGGCCGAACCTGCCAGCCCTAGTGTATGTGGCTGGCGCCCTAGCTGCTGAGCTACAGGCACCAAGCCATGATGCTTCTTATTTTGAGGCAAGTCTTTAACCCACCTCTGACAATAGAGAAAAACATTTAATAAATTTATAATTGCCGTTCTGCAGTAACTCTATTTCAGTAGTATGAATGAGACTTCAAATAGAAATCTAACCATCAACATCACAGACCTGGTTCTGAGTCCTGCTTCTGTAAAGGTGGGAAGAACCTCAGATATGTCATCTTGGTGCTGTATTTCAGTGTCCTGGTCCGTCTCATCACATGGGCAAAAGAAAGCTTCAAGTGCTCAGTAACATTCTTTAGTTGAAAGTATTTGGTATTGAAGAAAAGGAGGGTGTTTAAGAGGACGATTGGTGAGTAGGCGCCCAGCTGTTTGCACTCCCACAAATGCTCTTCTTCAATGCGAGAGAACATGTAACCTGGGCAAGGGAAGAGAGGCAAGAAACACTGCTGAGTCCCTAGGAGGACTCACCGTCTCTCCACCGTCTCTCCTGTCTCTAGGACAGGAATATACGAAGAGAAAGACTAATTGCTCCTTGCTTTGTCCCTTTTCCTTATGCAGAAGTGAGAGCCTGAGACCAAGAGTGGATTATGGATTTGTCTGATGAACTGTCCTGGTCAGAAACAATTCAAGAATAAGGACTAAACTCTCTTAACCACCAGTTCATTGTACACATAAACTACTGAAAAAGGCCCACTGTAGCTTTGCTAACACTACCAGATTAAAAATGGTGTCTATGTGTGTCTATGTATAAAGGCAAATATAGCCTCAAGTTATTTTTAATCTTCAGCAATTAGTATCTATACATGCATGGTTCTAAATAATCAACAGTAAACCAAAGACTTCCTTTTCTAAAAGACCAAATGTTATAAATCAGGATAGAAATATAAAATGAACAATTTATATAAAAAGATAATCATGAAACTTAAGCAATTTAAGAAAGCAGATCATAAAAGCAGTCAAAATAAAAAATTATCCTACCATTAGGAAGTATTGTAGGTTCCCAAATTTTCAAGAGTTTGGTAAGTTCAATCATAAATCTGGAATAGGGCTCAGTAAAAATATTATCTATTCTACCATTTTCAAACAGGTACTACAAGGGAAAAAAAAAGAATATACATGTTGATACAAATACAAGTTTAAACTACGCTGTAAGAAATACAGTAGAACCTCTACAGCTGACCACCTCCTTAAGTTGACCTGAGGTTTACAAACCGGACACGTACCACATGTGCACATCAGTACAGTAGGCCTAGTTCTTCATTTTGACCAACCCCTAAGTTGACCAGTTCATCATAGTCCCTTGGGTGGTCAAGTTATAGATGTTCTACTGTAGTTTGGCATTTATTTTTGCCATTATAAGATTGTGAAACATGTTCAACTTCTTAAGTACTGTAGGAATATGTTATCAAATACCAGGATTCAAGTTAAAAGTTTCCTTCATGTGAACTGACATTATCTTTAGCACTAAGCCTGCAAGGTAAAAGTTTTTATTTCCTTTTGAAAACATGGATGATACAGAATAACTATTTTAAGAACCCCTTACTCATTTCCTAAAGCTGATATACTAAAAATAAATTCTAATACATATTTCCAAATCATTTTTTTCCTGATTCATAATACATAACTGCAAATGTGTTCTCAGAAATTTCTTTTTAGCCCTAGATAGAAGACTTTTCTTGAAGTAATACAGTTAGATAGTGTCAGGTGACCTAAAGAAACCCAAATTTATAAGCTATATATTTGGAGCCTTCTAAATACAGCTCTGAACTCTCCACCCAAAACCTAGCCCTCAAAAAGTTCAAGTCTAATTATAGGACATTAAACTATGTTAATTAAAGCCATCAACAACCATACCACAGGACAGAACGCAAAGAACAGTTTGAGTAGGAGTTCAAAAACGCATTTAGCTTTCTCTTCCTAGTTCTTTCTGGAGTTGAGAGAAGCTGGGCTGGGGCTGGGCAGAGAATGCACTGAGAGGGCAGGTTAGATAAAATCAAATGGGACAGGGAAATACAATGAGCAACGGCAGAACACGAGACAGCATATAATTACATGTACGAACCTTCTGGTGCTTTTAAAATGTATTTTTCTTTTCTTAGAGTCTCACTTTATCGCCCTTGGTAGAGTGCCGTAGCATCACAGCTCACAGCAACCTCCAGCTCTCGGGCTTAGGCGATTCTCTTGCCTCAGCCTCCCGACTAGCTAGGACTACAGGCACCCGCCACAATGCCCGGCTATTTTCTTTTCTTGTTGCAGTTTGGCCGGGACCAGGTTCAGACCCACCACCTTCGGTATATGGGCCTGGCACCCTACTCACTGAGCCACAGGCGCCATCTGAAATGTGGTATTTTTAATTTATTTATCCATGGTTACCTTGGTTTTCTCCATTCTATCCATGTATGATTTGGAGCTATTCCCATTTAAATTTATTTTGGCTAATAAAAATTACCACTTCACTGTGCATTTTTCTTTGTTTTGAGGCAGAGTACACTCTGTCACTTGTGATACAGTGCAGTAGCTTAATCATATATAGCTCACTGGGACAGCCAACTCCCGAGCTCAAGTGACCTTCCTGCTACAGCCTTCCAAATCTGGGAGTATAACAATGAACCTGGCTAAATTTATTTTTGCATTTTGTAGAGATGAGAACTATGTGGCTCAGGCTGGTTTCAAATTTCCACACTTAAGCTATGCTCCCACCTAGGCCTCTCCAAGTGCCAACATTACAGAGGGTCGGGAGCCCAGCACCAAGCTTGAGTCTGCATTTTTTATGAGGCCTCTTCAAAGGCAATTTATAATCTTATTGCCAAATTACAGTTTAGTTGTTAAATAGTATTCCTCCTTTTTTTTTCTGTTAATAAAATCATTTTCAAAGTTAAAAATATTGTATCTTCACTATAGAAAACATTTAAAATACAGAAAAAAGTGGAAAAGAGACTATTCAAACTCACAACACAAAGTCAACTCTTATTAATATACCAGGATATTTTTAATCTTTAAGAAAATTCCAGTGGGGCATAATGGCTCATGCCTATTATTCTAGCACTTTGGGAGGCTGAGGTGGGTGAAATGCCTGAGCTCAGGAGTTTGAGACCAGATTGAGTAAAGAGCAAGACCTTGTCTTTAAAAGAAAAATAGCCAGGCACTGTGGCAGGCACCTGTTGTCCTAGCTACTTGGGAAGCTGAGGTAAAAGAATCACTTCAGCCCAAGAGTGTGAGGTCACAGTGAGCTATGATGTCACAGCACTCACCAAGGGAGACAAAGTGAGACTTTATCTCAAAAAAAAAAAAAAGAAGGAAAATTCCTTTATAAATATGTAAAGGTGAGTTTAGGGCCAAGAGCAATGGCTCATGCCTGTAATCTTAGCACTCTGGGAGGCTGAGATGGGTAGACTGCTTGAGCTCAGGAGTTTGAGACTAGCCTGAGCAAGAGCAAGGACCCACACCCACAATCTCTACTAAAAATAGAAAAACTAAGGCAAGATAACCACTTGAGCCCTGGAGTTTGAGGTTGCTGTGAGCTATGATGCCATAGCACTCTACTAAGGGCAACAAAATAAGATTCTGTCTCAAAAAAAAAGGTAATTTTATATTTTTATGCAAACATGTATCAGTACATATGAAATACATTTTTTTGGTTAAAAAAATCTCTTTTGCTCTTACATCAGAAACAAAACAAGAATGCCTATTCTTGCCATTTCCATTTAACACTGCACTAGAAATCTTAGAGCCATTAGGCAACAGGAAAGAAAAAGTAAAACTACTTGTATTTGCAGATGACTGAATCCTATATATAAGAAATCTTGAAAGAATCTACAGAAAAACTAATTATTAGAGCTAAGAAGTGAATTCATGCAAGCTGCAACACATAAAAATCATTTGTATTTCTACATACTAGTGATGAATAATCCAAACAAGAAATTAAGAAAACTGTCCCACTGACAATAGCATCAAAAAGAATAAAACATCTGAGAATAAATTTAACCAAAGTTCCAAAAAATAAAGTAAAGTAAAAATTGTTGTAAAGTAAAAATTAAAGACCTAAATAAATGGAAAATCATCCCATATTGATGGATTGGAAGACTTAATTGTTAAAACTGCAATATCCTATAAAGCAATCTACAGATTGATTGCAATCATATCAAAATCTCAACAAACTTTTGTTTTTTTCAGAAATGGAAAGCCAATTTTAAAATTCGTGTGCAATTTCAATGGACCCTGAATAGCCAAAAGCAACTTTACTGATTTCAAAACTTTATTACATATCTACAGTAATCAAAGGAGTGTGTACTGCCCTAAGAATAGCATTGAGACCAAAGGATTAGAATTCAGAGTCCAAACTAAACCAAATATTTGGACAAATGATTTTCTACAAGGGTATTATAATACCATTCAATGGGTAAAGAACAGTCTCTTCAACAAAGGGTATTAGAAGAACTGGATATCGACCTACAGAGAAAATGAAAGTAGACCCCACCTCATACCAGATCAATCAGTGACCTAAATGAGCTAAAACCATAAAACTCGCTGAAGAGAACAAAACATGGGGGTAAATCTACCTTGAATTGGGAAATGGATTCCTCGATGACACCAACAACATAGGAAATAAATTGAATTTCATTAAAAATAAAAAGATTTTGTGACTCAAAGTATGCTACCAAGAGAATGAAAAGGTTCATAAATGGTAACTTCATAAGGTCACTCTAACAATTACATGAATTAATAAATGTAAAGGGCTGACATGAGTGAACAGCATATAGTAAATGATCACTAAATGTTATCTATTACATTGTGTCTATTAACCATCTGTTGTTTTTCTTCTGCTACTTCACTATGCATCTTTTGCCATTTTCTTCTCTGCTGCTGTATTATTTTATTGATGAATAGGTGCTTTTTACACATGCGGGACAGCAATTCTTGGTTATGTATGGTAATACTATGAACTAAGAGAGCATTCTCAATTTAGATGCAGATGTGGTAAGCAGACTGACAATGGGAATGTTAACTGTCTTATAGTAAAAATCTAAAATAAAGGCAGTTTATGTCTTTGCTCCAGAAATTTCACTTACAGAAATGTATCCTAAAGAAATAATTAGCCAGTGTAGGAACATACATATAAAAAGATATTCAACAAAGCACTGTTTATCACAGAAAAAAAAAATCTTAAGGGGACGGATAAAATAAATGACATCAGGCTCAGCACCTATAGCTCAACCGGCTAAGGC